AGTCACTCATAACATATATATATATATATAGTCAACACACTCCTCATCTCCATCATCAAGAAAATTTTTGAAGTTTGAAATAGCATTTAAACCTTTGAACTCTTATCTTAAATTATAGCAAGTCATCGCTTCCCCCTTTGAATTTTATTGTAAGAATGTAACTTAATTTTTATTTACAATTATTTAGAAGAAATTTGGCTTATATTTATTGTTTGGAAAAAAATAGTTATTCTTATTCATTTGATGAAAAATTTAGTCTCTTTCAATCATTCCAAAATTATTAGTATTGACCCTTTTATTTAATAATCTATATAAATTTGATATTTTTGCTTCATAAATTAATGAAACATTGCATGCAAGTAATTTTGGTATTAAATGAATATTAATAATTGAGAATTCTTCTATATTATGACATAAGTATTTAGGATATATTTCTAAAAAAATAAAGACTTGTGTCAGATGAAATTCTTGATTCTTTTGATTTTTTTAGATTTTATTATCTTTATTGAATGTATTAATAATAATAAATAAATATTAAGAAAATGGGTGCCAACATAAGTTTTAGCATCTTAAAACTAATTCTTATTGATATATGTGATCTTTTTTTCATATATCTTATTGGAATGATCATCATTTTTTATTACTTTCATAAATGATTATTCTCATTATGAGTGCTCTTACTTGATTTATGTGAAGTTTTAATCAGAAGAAACATTTAAAATTTTCAAACTTGAATTTGAAAATCAACTATGTAGAAAATTAAAACTATCAAATCTGACTGTAATGCCGAATACTATGGTAGATATGATTGATTGGTGAACAACATCCAATACTTTTTTGTTGAAGCTGGGCGATATAAGCATAATGAAAGGAAACTTGATTAAAAAACTATTTCCTGCTATTATATTTGATGCTGACAATGTTCAATGAGTTTTAAGTTTTACAACTCCCCAAATAAGTCCTTTTTTGAGTCAGATAATGTTAAATTCATTGAGAATGTTGAATATGGTGGGAGTAACAAACTTAGAAATTTAATATTTGAAGAGGAACATATTATTATTCTTATTAATATAGCTAAAAATGATAAGATAATTTTTTCTAATAATATTTAGATTGTAAATCAAGATAATCAAGATATTTTTAATTTACATCCTATTCATATTGAAGAATCACAACAGCCTCAACTTGAATTGTCATTAAGGATATCCATTATGGAGAGGAAAATAATGGTTTCAGATGATTATGTTGCATATCTCCAAGAACATGAGTTTGATATAGGATTAAAAATTGATTTAATCTCTGTTAGTCAAGTCAAACAAAATGCTAACTCTCACAAATGAATAGAAGCCATGAATGATGATATGAAATAATTGAAAGGCAAAAATATTTGTGATCTTGTCGAATTGTCTAAATTTACAAGGTAATAGATTATAAATGAACTTTTAATACCAAAAAAAATTTAAAAAGCAATGCCAAAAGATATAAGACATGTCATATTGTTAAAAGTTTCACTAAAGAGGAAAGTGTTTATTATAAAGAGACTTTCTCTTTTAATGTTTTCTTAAAACTCTTTTAGAATTATTATGACACTACAGCTCTTTTTAATTTAAAGTTACATCAAATGGAAGTAATGATAACATTTGTTAATGGTGACATTTACAAAATGATCTATGTGGTACATCTAGAAAATTTTCAAAATATTGATTATAAACATTTGATTATAAAATTAGAGATATACATTTATGGTTTTAAGTAAGCATCCCATTAATGATTTAACAAGTTTGATCAAGTGATTACTTTTTTTGAATTTAAAGAAAACACCGTTGATCTGTGTACTAATCATAAAGTTAATGGGGGTAAGTATATAATCCTTAAGCTATATATTGATGATATTCTATTTGCAAGTAATGATATAGGCCTTTTGCATGAAACTAAGAAATTTCTTTGAAAAAAATTAGAAAGAAAATACCTCAGGATGTATCTTTTTTATTGGTGTACAAATTCATTGAAATCATTCTCGTGGTATATTTGGCTTATCATAACCTACACATATAAATAGTGTTTAGTAGATTTGGCATGCAGGATTGTGCACTGGGAGACACACTTATTGTTTAGGGCGATAAATTTAATATGTTTAATTCCTAAGAAATAATATTGAGACTAGAAAAGTTCCCTTATGCATCTATAGTAGGGATTCTTATGTATGCTCAAGTTTGTACAAGTTTAGATATTACGTACGTTGTTGGAATGTATAGTAGATAATTAGTTAACTCAAGATGTGATCATTAGAAAGTAATAGAGGTGGTAAGACAATATATTAAAAAGAGCAAAATATTTTATGCCACATATGAGAGATCATAACATTTAGAGATCACGGGGTATTCTAACTCTAATTTTGTTGATTATCTCAAAAGTAGATGATTCACTTTTGGCTACATTTTCATGTTAGTTGGATGAGTTGTGTCATGAAAGAGTGT